TTCACCTTCCATGAAGGGGGCCTTTTGTCTCTACATCACACACCTGGGGATGCCTGCCATGCCCTCTATACTCTACCATGGGTCCGAACCATCATTATAGATACCGCCCTTATTAGGAATAAAACATGCATTGCTTATGCTGCACAGCAAAGTCACCCTGCTGCTGTCATTTATTCCTGCCCTGTTTACTATGCTAATATGGCTATGCATATATATGACTTAGACCTTTCGGTTTTATCCTATGCATAAAGCATATAGTTGGTGTCAAGATGTATTTGCTAAATGAATGAATGAATTCACAAATGAAGTCAGGTATGGAGCAGAGGCAAGCAGAATACAGGTCTTGTTTGGAAGTTCTGTCTTCCCTGATGGTAAGCCAATAAAAGACCCGGATAAGGATACAGGAGAGGCTGCATCTCATCCTTGGGTCAGTACTCTTATGGAAATATGGCACTTAGTGACTAAATAAAAGTCCAAGGTTGGAGCTATTGAGATGTAGATCTGGGCATTTAAATCCCATGTCTGATTCCAGAGCCTTTTTTTACATTTTATTTTGCAGATTTTAGTTATATTTTTATTTGTTTATTTACTGTGTGTAGGTATGGACACTTAAGAGGAGGTCAGAGGACAACTTACAAGAGTAGGTTCTCTCTTTCCATCATGTGGTTCCTGAGGATCAAACTGAGGCTAGCAAGCTTGGTAAGAAGTGCCTTTACCTAATGAGCCATCTTGCCAGCCCTGTTCTTATTTTTTTTTTTGGGGGGGGAGTCTTTCCTTATATCCCAGGTTGGCCTTGAACTGCTATGTAGCTCAGGCTGGTCTGGAACTGGAGATTCTTCCTACCATTGACTTGTACACACAGGAATTATTGGTATGTGCCACCATGCCTGGCACGCACAAATTTGTCTTTAGCTACCAAAATGTATTGTCTTCCCAAATGCCAGACTTTACATTGAGCTTCAGGTTCAATGTCAGACTGATCCTCCCAAGGAATAAGGTGGAGAGTAGCGGAGTAGATTACCCAACATCTCCCTCTGGTCTCCAAACAGTGTGCTCAACACAGCACACACATACCCAAGATAGAGAGAGGACAGGAAGGAGGCAGGGAGAGAGGGCAAAACAAACATCCCTAAACCTTTGAATTTTTGCTACCTAGCTTATCCTCTAGCTGACTATCTGCCTTCAATTGTTTCTCTGTAGCAAACCCCTGATGGGAGATGCCATTATGTATATATGTTTCTCATACTGGTTAATGAATAAAGCACTGTTGGCCAATAGGAAAGCAAGATAGGAAGGACTAGGAGACAAGGAGGAAAGAGGAAGTAGTAAGTAGAGAGTCAAGTTGGAGAATCTGGAGAGAATAGAACCGCTAGCTGCCTCTCGCTGGTAAGACCACGTGGAAATACATAGAAATGGGTTAATAATTAAGACAGAGCTAGCTGATAAGAAACTAGTACCGGGCCAACAGATTATATCAAATACAGAGTCTCAGTGTATTAGTTGGGGCTGGCGCGGAAAAACCATACACCTTACAAACCCCTCCATCAAGAGTGGAAGTTTGACTATTGTAGCTTTGAATTCTAGAAGCTCATTCATTATTTTTTTCAAGTTTACTGATTGGGTGGTCATGGCAGGTGAGTGTGTGCTATGGCCTGAGTGTGGAAGGCAGAGGACAACTTGCTGGAATCAACTCTTTCCTTCTGCCGTGTGGGTTTGAGGGATAGAACTCAGGTGGGCAGGCCTAGCAACAAGCACCCCTACTGGCTGAGCCATTTTGTGGGCCCTCTTTTTTTTTTTTTTTTTTAAAGCTAGGGTCCTATTTTACAGTTCTTAATCCTACGTAGTTCGATCTTGTGTGGTACACAGAACTGTTTTATAACCGGCCATTCCAACTTGAGAAATCAGTGTAGGCTCTTTTCCTGCACTGCTGTTTATACATTATTCTCTACTGTGAGCTGCTTGTCTCCTTCAATGGTTGCCTGCCAGGAGTTCACATCCTCTTCCAGAGAAGGTTTGAGTGTGCTCCTGTCAGGTTCTTGGCAGCACTTGCCAAATCTGGGGGATTTTACACGTGGGCTTGGGAGCTCCCTGCTTACCCGAGTGAGGAGACTCTGGCAATGAACAGCAAGCGCTCTTGTCTCGCAGACTTTTTAGTCTAATCCACTCAAAGCTCCCTTTAATCCTGGCCTGGGGGTTCAGGGTTAAGTCTAGTTTATTCTTACACAGAGTCCTCTGTGGTTATGGTTTAGCGTGGAAAGGGTCAAAAGGTGGCTAATATGGAGACGTTAACAGAGCCAGAGGCTACGAGTGGAAGTCGTGAAAATTTAAACAGAGACTCTGAGGAGTAGGGAATGTGGAAAAGTAGAGAATGGTGTAGAGGCAATATTTAAAGAGAAAACATTTTACAGAGCATAGACACTTGTAGACTCAAGAAGCTAAATTAACCCAAATTAAGATAAACACAAAGGAATCCTTCCATTTGTATTCTTACAGTAGATTATACATTTTCTTTTATTCTCTATAAACTACAATGAATGTAAGTGAATAGTCTATACTTTTCATAAGGAAAAAATTGGGGTTCAGATAGCTTGATTGGGCTGTTTAAGATCATGTAACACTAGGGAGCAGGGGCAGAACTTGGGCCCAGCTCCAATCTATGTTGTGTCCCTTCCTATACATCAGTGTCCCTTCCTATACATCAGAAATGGAATACCATATAACCAGAAGAGGTTCTGTAAGGAGAGATGAAAATATGGATGAGGAACCCCCCCCCCAGCAGAACCCTTAAGTTACAAATATCTCCCTGAACACATCCGTGATTCCCTCAGAAGAACGCACTGGACTGGAAAAGCTTGTGCAACAAGCGGTGGGAAGGTTCTAGCTTGCCCCCCACAATGTGAGTTAAATACAGAGCCAAGTCAACTTCTTGGCCAAAGTCCAAGTCCCCTCAGTCAATTCATGGAACTGGCCTGGTACACAGCAGCTAAGCTACACAGCCATCTATCCCACACTACTCAACTGGCAAGACAGCAGGATAGGAGTATCCTCCTCCCTCACTGGCAAAGACAGCTTAAACACTGTAGTTGCTATGTCCACAGTAACATCTCCTTTGTTCATCCATACAATCTGACTTGGTAATTATTGATTGCCTCTTTTCTAGTATGGTGGCATCTCACTTGCTTATGGCTTATACTTGACGTGTTTTGTTTTTGTGTTCATAGCACTGAATGGAGACATTTCTAAGAGGGAAGCCTGTAATTCGTTAGCACTATCAAGCCCCACACCCCAGATGTTAATATATGCCTAACATCTCTCTGCCTACCTTGTAAAAAGAGATCAGACAATTATTCCCCAGAAGCTGCCTCTGTGACATGTTAAATCTGGGAGGGCTACAATGCCTGGACCCATAGCTTGAGGCACCAGAGCCAAGACCGTAGATTCCAGGAAAAGGGGCCAGCTGCCAAACAGTTCCACGGGAAAGCCTCACATGAATGACATAATGTAGGTGTGACTATCGCCATCTGCAGCAGCTGTGTATAAGTCCTTAAGCAAAAGAGCAAGGAAGGAGATGCAAGTCTGATCCCCCATGACATATATCTCAGTTAGGGACACAGGAGCACCAAGATGGCTGACAACAGAAGAGAATAAGCATCAACCACATGAGTGGACCTGTACAGGGCATGAACAAACAGAATGGACAGAGATCCAACTCACAGTGTGATGGTCAAATGGGGTTGTGTTCATCCATCTACCTACCCACCCACCTACCCATCTACCCACTCCACCCATTCATCCATCTACCCATCTATCTCCCCCCCACCTACCCATTTTTCCAAGCATTCAGGGTTTGTTGAAAACCTAACAAAATTACCTATAATGTTTAGGCACCAGAGAGACCAGGGAAGAATGCTGGAGAATTGTGTATCCAGTACTCAAAAACCTCCTGAGTTAGCCACTTCAATCAAATCCTTATAACAACATGTAAAGTATGTATCCTGTCTTCATCTTGCAGAGGAAATGGACTCAAAGCATCTAAGGAGCTTGCCCAAGATCACAAGTTCAGTAAGTGGCAATGTGGGATTTGAACCAAGCTTTGCCTGGCTCCGAGCCTGCTCCCTTAATAAATTAGTACTAACCACAGAGTTAATTATAGGGTAGCCGGACAATTGGCAGGAGTAAGAAATTCGAAGGAAGTGCAGAAGATACAATTTGGTCACAAGAGTAAGTGATCTTGGGGTTTTGCAAGTGGCCTAGCAAGGAGAAAAGTGTTGGGTGCAGGTACCAAACCTCTGAGAGGCACAAAGGTCTACCTGCGTGAGGAAAGACCGCTCAACAGGCAGAAGTGGGAAACAAGCACAGGACTGCCTGGTGGGAGGGCATTTGACAGTTTCTCCACCCTCCTCTTAGTATTCAGGCATCTATACTGGTCTGCCCTTGGGGTCCTGACAGGATACACCTTCAGTTGCAGCCACTAAGAGTGCCCACTGTGCATATTTGCTATGCTGTCTTTTAAAAGGTAGGCCTTGCCCACCTCCCATTCTCTGCCCCTCTCCCTCTGCCTCTCTTTCCTCTCTCCTGCTGCTCCTATCCCCAGAGGCTGGACTCTCTGCTCCCCTTTCCCCTTTTTACAATCCCTTTCCCAAACAAAAATCTCTACTTGAACACTATCACATGGTATCTTTCTCTCGAGCAATGCTTTTCTTAAATAACAGCACCGCCCACTCTGTTGTGCCCTACAGCCCCTCAAGCTCCTGCAGGGGCCTTCTGTAATGAGCTACCTGTGCCAGCCTAATGGCAGGCCTCATTTTGTATCCATCATCCCGTCCTGCCCAGGCCCCTCTAGACAGGAACCTGCTTGAAGATTCTGCTTGGAACCAGAGGACAGAAGCCCCAGGGAGTCCCCCCCAAAACTAAAGGGGTCAGAGGGTGACCCTTCCAAGCTAGACCCCAGCTTTTACAGATGTCTACACAGAGTCAAAGCACTTTCTCATTCTACTTACAGTTTAGAGTCCAGCTTCAGGAGAAAACCCAGCCGATCATACTCTGAAAAGGAAAAGCAGAAAATGTCACTGAAGGCAAGCCACTACTCCCACTGTGGGTTGCATTCCCAGTTCTACACCATGGGGACAGGCAGTGTTTGGAAAAGAACACATAATTCAAACACTTCAAAGAACAGAAACAAGCACACATGCCATGAGCAATTTAGTCAGATGACAGCTACTGAGTGAAGAGCCAGGTTCAGCAGTGGCTGTCTTCCAGGTGTTCCTGCCCATCCAGTCCTATGCTAATTCAGAATTGCTTTCTGGGATAGACATGGCACTTGACGCTGAAATCTGGTCAATCAGAGACTGGTCTCTGAAGAGGTACGATGCCATCTTCAGTTCCTGAAAGCCCTGAGCACAGAAATCTGTTCAATGAGCCTGTCTCTGGTTAGCATCAGCTGTAAACTCGACACAGCCCAGTCATCTCAGGGCATCTCATTTGGGGATTGTTTCTATCAGAATGGCCTGTGGCCAGGTTCATGAAACATTTTCCTAATTATCAATTGATACAGGAGGGCCCAGTCTACTGTGGGTGACGCCACACCTAGGCAGGTATGCCTAAACTGCACAAAAGAAAGCTAGACAAACAAGCCAGGAGGAGCAAGTCAGTAAGCAGCACCCTTCTGTGGTTTCTGTTTCAAACTCCTGCCTTGGCTTTGATGACAGACTATAACTTATGAGATGGAATAAATCCTTCCTCCAAATCCAAGTTGTTGTTGTTGTTTTGTTTTTCCAAGACAGGGTTTCTCTGTGTAGTCCTGACTTTCCTTGAACTCATTTTGAAGATCAGGCTGGCCTCAAACTCACAGAGATCCATCTGCCTCTGTCTCCGGAGTGCTGGGGTTAAAGGCATGCACCATCACCCCTGGGACCTCAAGTTGGCTTTAGTCCATGTTTTATCACAGCAACAGAAAGCAAACTAGAACGGCCAGACTAACTGGAGTGAAGATGTGTCATCCACAAAATCCTCAGACCCCACAGCAGCAACTCTCAGTGTGGGAACCATGGAGAACTGTGGGATCCAGGACTATAAAAAGGAAATTTAAGAACAAACATTGGCAAGATGCCTATTACACATTGAAGCAACTAGCATTTTAATATTTTGCCTTGTTTTAAAACGAGATTAAATCCGATTGTAGTGGTTAAATGAGAATGTGCCCCGTTGGCTCCCGTATTTAAATGCTGGGTTCCTAGTTGGTGACACTGTTTGGGAAGGTTTAGGAGGTGTGGCCTTGCTGGAGGAAGGACATCACTGGGGGTGAGCTTTGCCCTATCTGCTTCCTGCTGAAGGTTGAGCCCTTAGCCTCAATCTCTGCTGCCATGCACCTCCATGACAGAATCCGATCTCCCTGCCATAGGTCGCCTTGGTAATGGTGTTTTCTCACAGCAATTGAAAATTAACCAATACACAGTTGTAAACATCATGTAGATCATGAGCTTCTAGAAAGGGCTGGGGGTGGAGACATATGAAAACTATAAAGTGCAGCCAAGGGGAGCATGGCATGAGTGAACATCCTCGGGCCCTGTGTGCTTGCTGCGGATTTCAGATTTGTCTCCAAGATTTTCCAAGGCCCAAATGAAATACAGAGCACAGGATTCACAGCCCAGGGTTTCCATACAATTAAGGGGGAAAACCCTAGCTGTTTTTCTTCAAGGATATTTTCTGTGGCCTCAAAAAACTTTTTTTTTTTTTTTTTTTTTTTTTTTTTTTTGCACAAGGAAAATGACGGAAGTGCTGTGGAGTTGTTGCTTCCACCATTGCTCAATGGTGGCAGCGTGTGTGTGTGTGTGTGTGTGTGTGTGAGAGAGAGAGAGAGAGAGAGAGAGTGTGTTTGTGTGTGTGAGTGTGTGAGTGTGAGTGTGTTGAGAGTGTGAGAGTGTGAGTGTGTTGTGAGAGTGTGAGAGTGTGTGAGTGTGTGTGTGTGTGTGAGTGTGTGAGTGTGTGTGTGTCTATGCCAAGTAAGGCGTTTTACAAATGTGGTTGTCAGCTAGCCTGGTTCACTCTGAGGCCAAAATGGAACATCAAGACCTAGACTCAGAACAGAAAAGGCCAGGCAACAGGCTTTCGAGGAACTCAAATTCTAATAAACAGCGAATGATCAAGAGAGAGAATTCATGTACATCAAAAAGTACCACAGAGAACCAGGTGTGGTGGCGCACACCTTTAGTCCCAGAACTAAAGGCAAAGGCAGGAGGATCTCTATGAGTTCAAGGCCAGCCTGGTCTACAGTGAGTTCCAGGACAGCCAGGACTACACAGAGAAATCTTTGTCTTGAAAAAAAACAATAAAAAAGTACCACAAGTCATTCTGTGTGGCAATTAAAACAGGGACCTGGATGTTACAGTCAGGGGGCAATGATAGGGTGTGTGTGTGTGTGTGTGTGTGTGTGTGTGTGTGTGTGTGTGTGTGTGTGACATGCCAGGCGTCCAGTGTCTTGCTCTATTACCCCCTGACCTTATTCCCCTGATACAGGGTCTCTGAACCTCAAAATAGGCTACTCACTGGCCAGCAAGTGCCAGCAATCCTCCTGTCTCTGTTCCCACAGAGCTGCTGTTATAGGAATATATTGGCATGCCTAGCTTTTTATGTGGGTGATGGGGATTTGAACTCAGGACCTCATGCTTGATCTTACCAAGATCACTTGGTCACAGCAATCATAATCAGAAATAATATGAAAAGAAAAATTCAGTCAAGTTTTTAAAGTAACCGTGTGTGTGTGTGTGTGTGTGTGTGTGTGGGTGGGTGGGTGGGTGGGTGTGTGGGTGTGTGGGTGTGTGTGCAGGTGTCTGAGGAAGCCAGAAGAGGGCATTAGATCCCTGGAGTTGGAATTGCAGGTGGCTGTAAGCCACCCAATGTGGGTGCTGTGAGCCATACTCGGGTCCTCCAAGAGTAGCAAGCACTCTTAACCACTGAGCCATCTCTCCAGTCCTTAAAGTGATGAATTTCACATATAAAGAGAGAGTGAAGACCCTCCTCCCATCAAATACAGGAAAACCAGCTGTCAGAGATCAAGAGACAGTTTAAAAATCTCCTTTGAAAACTGTTGTTATGAACCCCACATCTCTGAAGACTGCGTGTTGTGTCTCTTACTCCAGGCTAGCCCTCAAAGCATGCAGACACAGAGGGCTGCCTGCAGAAATGCTTCCCAGCTGATAAGTCTAGAGGCACCATGAGATGGGCTGCCATTGCAGGAGAGCTGCATGGGGGCTGGCTTACACTCCCACAAATGATCTAGAGAATATTCTTTTAGTTCCTTCCCCCAAACATCTGCCTAGATTAGTGTTTTTCAACCTTCCTAATGCTTCAACCCTGTAACGCAGAGACCCCAAACATAAAATTATTTTGTTGCTACTTCATAACGGTAATTTTGCTACTGTTAGGAATCATAATGGAACCCATAGATTGCAACCCACAGGTTGAGAACCACTGGCCTAGAGGGTTCACAGATAGGGCCCTCAGCCACCAAAAGCAAAAGCAGACATCCAGATTCTGGAGCTACGGAGATGAATGCTAAGATTGAGGCGAGGCACCCAGGATGAGCAGGAGCCTGTCAAACACCCACAGGAGCACCCCAAGAGTCAACTTTAAACATATGCAGGATCCAGAGCGTGCAACACTCCCCCAGATTTTCCTTTTCTTCCTCTGTGGCTATCTCAGGGAAGCCAGAGGGGGCAGTCAGATTGGGAGAGGGCAGAAAGAAGAGAGACAGCAGGCCCCCTCTTCCATAAGCCAGCCCTTACAGGCCAAGCCCCAATGTGTTAGTATTCAGGCAACTATACTAGCCTGCCCTTGGGGTTCTGACAGGATACACCCTCAGCTGCAGGCACTAAGAGCACCACCTGTGCACAATCACTATGTTCCCTTTTAAAGAGGCCCTGGCCATCTCCCATCCTCCTCTCTCTTTCTCTCTCTTTCTCACCCTCCCTCCCTTCCCCCTTCCCTCTCTCCTGTTGCTCCTGTCCCTAGAGGCTGGTCTCCCTGCCCCCCTTTCCCCTTTTTACAAACCCTTTCTCCTAATAAAAAGCCCCTTCACTTGAACTTAGTGTTGCATGGCATCTTTCTCTCAAATCCTGCTTTTTAAAATTACAGGACAATGAGGTTAAAGAAAGTAACTATACTTTTTTTTTTTTTCTTTTGAGACAGGGTCTCATTTTGTAGCCTTAGCTTGCCTGGAGGTTGCTATTATAGACCAGGCTGGCCTCAAACTCAGAGATCTGCTTCTGCCTCCAGAGTGCTGGGATTAAAGGTGAGCTGTTCTACAACTCTGAATGAACTGAAAATTACATAAGACCACATGCTCTAATTCTGGACTTGTCAGAGTGATCGTGGGTTTTTGTTACTACAGAAATATCAAGAACTTCACTGGACTTGTACACTGAGAACACTGAGGAGGAGTCCAAATTAAGAACATTTATTTCTGTGGTTATACATGATGTGTCCTGCATTTTCAGCTGCACTGGCGTAGGCAAATGGCAACTTACATGATTAGTTATTTGGTTGTTCTTTTGGTTTTCTGTGGTACTGGGTCAACAGAGAGGACCCAGGGCCTCATCCGTGCTAGTCAAGCTGGGCTCACTCCCCTCAACCCAACCGGATGGTTTTAGGCTCAAATTGAGGGAAGGGCCGGCTGCAGAGGCCACCAGGGACTGCCAGAACCACAGTAGACCAGCAGGCTGCCTCTGGAGTTTTCATCACAACTTTTCAACATGGCCGCCAGCAACATGTAGGTGGTATGTCTAGCATTACCATGGAAAAGGAACGACAATTCATCTCCTCTGTTTCTGACTTGGAAAGCCCTGGTGAGGGATGGGCGTACACCAGGCTTGCCGTAGCTCTTCACCTGTTCTCAGACACTGAGGAAGAGTTGGTGGACGTGACAAGTTTCCATGACACGTGCCGTGAAGAGGGAGAGTTACCAGAAGGAAACTGCCACACTGAGCAAAGGCCCCTTGAGCAGTAGGAACAACCGCTGGCAATGTTTGCAGTAGTGACTCTCTGAG